GGGTGACCCACAGAGGTCCCTGCCAACCCCACCATTCTGTGATTCTGTGAGAGCTGTGGCCGGGCGGGCAAAAGGAAGCGCTCTGACACGCCTGGGTTGCTTTTGGCTCGTGAGACCTCATTGGAAGAGAAAAACAAGGGAAGGGGAGTTCCCAGTCCATTCAGCAGCAATTTGTGGCATCTTTGCTCGCTAATTAGTCCAGAAACTTGCCACACTGATGAGGTTTTTGAGCTTTTTAGGGAGGAGTTTGCATGCTTTCGGGCGCTATCGCCCAGACCTGGTGTATCCCAGTCGCTGCCCTCTCCTTTGCCAACGGTTTCTAACAGGAATCAGCACGCTGAGTGTGCTCCTGCTCGCTCTTCAAGGCGGCCTTTGGCAGGATGAGCTGAGGAGCCTTGGGAGAGCTGGAGGCTGGGCGGGTGGCAGCTAACGCGCTCCGCAGAGGGTGCTCTGTCCGCAGTCAGCTAACTGGCCAGGGCAAACTTTCTCTCTTCTAGCAGAAGAGATTGTGCTTCAGCTGAGTAGCACTTTGTTGTAGCAGTATCACGTTCGTTTTCTGGCTCAAGTTTGTCCTACCACTACGTAATTTAAGGTATGTCTGTGCCATTATTTAGGAGTGACCTTGAGGTTCATGCTCAAATTGCCTGAACCGTGAAAGTCACCTTTCCCCATCTCTTCCATATCTTGCAGCTCGCACTGACATCATCCGTGGTGTTTTTTTCATGTCCTAGTGCCATCTCAACAAAATGTCGTAGGTCCTCTCACAGAGGCCTCCTGGGAACTGTTCTCACAGAATCCAAGCATGGTAGGGGTTGGCAGGGACCTCTGTGGGTCACCCAGCCCAACCCCCTGCCCAAGCAGGGTCACCCAGAGCAGGGGGCACAGCACCGCGGCCAGGCGGGGCTGGAATATCTCCAGAGAAGGAGACTCCACAGCCTCCCTGGGCAGCCTGGGCCAGGGCTCCGTCACCCTCAGAGGGAAGAAGTTCTTCCTCGGGTTCAGCTGGAGCTTCCTCTGCTCCAGTTTGTGCCCATTGCCCCTTGTCCTGTCGCTGGGCACCACTGGAAAGAGTCTGGCCCCGTCCTCCTGACCCCCACCCTGCAGATAGTTAGAGGCAAAAACACAGCACTGCAGATGGGGCCTCCCCAGGGCAAAGCAGAGGGGGAGGAGAACCTCCCTCGCCCTGCTGCCCACACTCCTCCTCATGCACCCCAGGATCCCACTGGCCTTCTTGGCACCCAGGGCACGCTGCTGGCTCATGGTCACCCTGTCGTCCCCCAGCACTCCCAGTCCCTCTCCGCAGAGCTGCTCTCCAGCAGCTCAGCCCCAGCCTGTCCTGGTGCCTGGGGTTGTTCCTCCCCAGGTGCATGACCCTGCCCTTGCCCTTGTTGAACCTCATCAGGTTCCTCTCTGCCCAACTCTTCAGCCTGTCCAGGTCACGCCGTTCTCCTAACGGTGTCTGACACCTTTTAGGCTTAATTCTATTGAAGAGGGGTGCAGTGGAACTGGGGTAGCAGGCTCATACGGTAGAAGTGAGAGTTCATAACTTGGTGCTCAAGAGCTTTCCATCTTGCAGCAGGAAGGCAAAAAGTCCCTTTGTGTTCAGAAGAAAGCGGTGTAAAGAAGGGTTGGGAGGTGGCGTGAGATCAGTCTCCCCCTTCCATCTTTGGACGTGGTCCGGGTTGGAGTGAGTCCTGGTCAAGACAGAGGCTTAAAAAATAGGTGAGCGTGGTAAAAACAGAGTCAAGCTGGAAAAGGCCTGGAGAGGGGCAGCTGGAGCCATCACGGCGTGAGGAGGGACGGGAGCGGAGAGCAGTCTTCAGCCTGGGGGAACAGGGCTGGGGGGGGTGATCGAGGCTTACGAAACCTCCCTCAGCAGCTGGAGGGGATGCTGAACTGGTGCTCACCCGCTCTCGGGACTGGTCCCC